CACCTAAAAACAATACAATATATTCCGATTTCCAGGAAAAAGCCCGGCGCTGGTGCCTGGATTTAAGCCCCCAGAGGCATCTCTTGGGAGAAGCTGTAGAAATGACAAGCATCAATTATGATGGAAGTAAAGATTTGCCCTTAATTTCTGCCCTCCAAATAAAAGCCAACTCTTTATATTCTCAATTCTATCTCATAATAAATTCATATTAATTTTATATTTTTTGTAAGTTTTCTCCTTTTTTAAACAAATAAGCACAAAAAATATACAGTCTTAAATCAATCTCCCTATTAAATATGTAATATGTAACCAGACATGCTGAAACTGTCGGTCTGATCAGTCATGACCGGCAAAATTTGTCTGAACCAGTAAGAAATTGGACTTAGTCGGTCCAAAGGACCGACAAGAGTTTATGAGCCACAATTTTGAATTCACAGCCATAATTCGACATACTTCACTAATAAAATTATATAAGACCCAAAGCGTTTTCCCTCCCATTTCAAACATATCACACTCACAAACAAAGTAAGCTACCCTAATATTACTGGTAGTTTCTGTCTCAAACGAATAGGGTGATTTTTGGTCCGACAAAAATCCATTTGGTCCAGTAAATTTTTCATTACTGCCGGTCCAAATGTCCGACCATTCTGAATAGTTTTCAGCATGTCTGTGTAACCCACAAAAAAGGGAAAAAAAGCTGTGTAATTGTTGAAAATTATATCAGGTATATGGTGGTGTTCATTTTGCATTGCAGACAGAAATTGGCCCTCTAAAGTTGTATTTCACATGAAACTATAACACATACATCTTTCAAATTTGACACAAATATTACTTTAAGACTGTTTTATTACGGATGAAAAATTTGTCCAGTGTGCCAAACCTATACATTAACAATAAAAACAAGGTATATTATAGCACATTTCACCATTCATTCAATGAAGAATTAAACTTTTTACTTGGTTAATGAGTAGTATGTGTTGTCTTTAATGTTAGGCCAAATATATATATATATATATATATATATATATATATATATATATATATATATATATGAGGTTTATTATATATCTTTGTACCAGATGGCCATTTCTGTGGTTTATTTCAGATCTGTTCATATACAGTGCATTACTAATAAAAGTGTCAGTCTGCCATTTTCCTTCCTTTTAAACCTCCTCGGTATTGTTCACTGCCAGCCTGGCCTCTTGTCAGCTTAGACTAATTGCAATCAATAATTATCTTAACTGATCATCTCTCCGGTATATATCACAGGTAAAATGACAGGTTGCTGATCAAAAGCACAATCTCGTTTCATCTTCGACAAATTGCAAGCAAAATATCTGAAAACACCTAGGAGAAGCCATGATCATAAATGATCTAAGAGTCACTATTCAAATGCCACTAATTGACAAGCAAGAATGGATGTTGTTAACACAACTTGCCAGGTGAGATATAGATTGCGCTTTTTGATATTAATGGATGCATTTATTGAATAATCAATCTTTAATTTTTTTTCTATCTTCATTAATAAAACAAAATCTGTACCTTGTTCAGTTCTGTATCTGAATCAGTTGATTTTTCATGCTACATGTAATATCTCTGTACACCTGTTTAATTCAGGTAGATATACTAATTTTCCATCCAGAGTAATTTTTAATTTTTAATTAAGGATTTAATCTATCATCTAATATGTTTTAAAATAATTTTGTTTGGTCTTTGTTAAATGTAGGACTAGAATAAGGAGATAATATGTAGTTTAAAAAAACCTAGAATTTAGACTCCAAATCATCATGAAGTTATGAACAAAAATTATGAACTTTGACTAATGATGATTGGTTTAGACTTATTTCTTAAAATTTTATGGTTTACTTAAAGAGTATCATACCATTAAATACCCCATAGAATTATTTTTTAAATAATATTCATGACTTCTTGTACAGTGTATAATGTTGTACTCATTTCACTAGACTTTATGTTGACCACTATATGCAGTATACTATTCAAAATTGAAAAAAAATTGCAATGCTTATCTATTATATAAACTTACTTCAAATTCAATTTAAAAATAATAAAAACAATTAACTTTAAACTACTAAAACATAAAAAGTAAGTAAAAAGATATTTATCAGTGGAGTAGCAACAGCAATTTTTTTTTTTTTGCTTAACCACTTCTTTTCTAATCACTTCTTTTTCATAATTTTTTCTACAAATGTATTTGACTACAGCCAGTCAAATCAATTCTATTTTATGAAATGTTAACTTAGCAAATAATTTCTGAAATCTATCAAGTTTTTAGCGTTAAGTAGAGTAGTCAATTAAAATTAAATTTTCATATGGAGTAAGTACCACAGAGGACTACGGGGATGATACATATCATCATCAGTGTCTTAAATTTTCCTTTTTTATTTATAATAACCTGTGCTGATGTATAAGTATACGTCATTCTTCTTCAGAAATAAAATTATTACCTCCCCACTCAGAATGTGCAATTTGACACGATGTGAAAATGTAAGGAATGCCTGTAAACATTCACTTGGCTTTACCCAAGAGAAAAAATGTGACTACCACAATAGTACATTTAGAGAAAGTACATTTCGAGTTATGAGTTACTCGTGTGCTTGGGACTTCATTGCTGAGAATCTGTGGAAAAATCAACAATTTTTTTTCTCACTCTTACTTCAGGTCCCTTAAAATCAACATATAACACATAAAATTTACTAGCAAGTTCTTCAGCATTGGGATTATTACAGGTTATTTATGGCAATTATCTGCGGAAAAATACCCATTTACATTTATAAGTGCACTGAAAAGTACAGGGTTAGAAACATAATGGCTTTTAAAATGTGCAAAAGTATTTTCTTTTTTAAATCAACAATTTAACAACAGAATTAAGTTTAACAAAGAAAAAACTGGAAGAGAGAGAGCCTTAATATTTAAACAAACTACCATGGATTGATTTTTACCTCCGCCAAGGGGGTTATGTTTTCACCCCTGTTTGTCTGTCTGTCTGTCTGTCTGTCTGTCATCAACATAACTCAAAAAGTTATGGACCAATTTAAAATTTTCAGGAACTGTCAGAAGTGGGCCAAGGAACAGATGATTAGTTTTTGGTGGTGACCGGATCAATAATCAATCAATAATAATAATAAATCGCTGCCTTGGCCGAGGTCTGTGCTCTCGGAGTGCTTTCTAGTTAAATTTAAAAATGTGCCAACCAATTCACAGTGCTGAACAAGTGCAAACTGTGCAGAAAGTCATCATCAGTTTTTTAGTTCAGAGGAACCGCTCAGCCAAACCAGTCATTTTTACACTCTAGAATGGAAGAATCTCTGATTGGAAAAAAAACTCAAGCAATCACATAAATCCATATCCAAACCAGACAAAGACAGGTCCTGTACTCACAACCCACTTGACAAGGTCAGATTTCAATCAGAAACGTACCTAGAACCAGGCGATAGACAAACAATACGGGCATCCTGGGCTCTCTTAATAAGACGTGTCTCTGCACAAAGGGATATTTTGCATCTAAGCTAATTAATTAATTTATCAATCAAACCATCTGTCTAATTACCCATGTTGGACTGATTTTTGTGTCAAGCAAGATGTAATTTTAATCCTTTTATCTAGACATATTTCAAACAATCTATATTTTATTCATGGACTGAGAGTTGTGGGGTGATTTAAGCCAGGCAAAATGATTAAAAGTTACTCAGAATGTTAGGCAAACAAAAAGAATGATTTGGTCAAAGAATACTTGAAAAACATCTGGGCTCATTATGAAAATAATTTTGTTTTCGATAATTTTCTACATATTCAAAATTAAAGAAATCATAACTGAGTTAAAACAGTGAAAATTTTAAAAATATGCACAGCAAAATTTTTCATTTTCTTCAATCATAACTGACACACTGATAAGTGTAACATTCTTTATCATGATAATATATATTGTAAGCCTAAGGTAAATGATATGTAGAGTAAATAAAATAATTAAGCACATGGGAAAAACCAGCACAATAGCATTATGAGCTCTAGTCATACTTAAACAAACAATAAATCAAAGGCATTAGATAAAAAGATATTTGAAAAGTTATTACACTTGCTAGTCAAGTGATTCTCCCCTGTCAATTTGCAAAATTTATATTCCTGCTTTGGTTGAATCATACATCAAGAATGATCTAGTTATTCACAAGTTTTTTTTAACTCATCTGAGAATATCTTAGAATACCATGCCCGACTTCGTAGTATTTTGTTAAATAAATAAATAAATAAATAAATAAATAAATAAATAAATAAATTCATGAAAATAAGCCTATGATTCCGACTGACAAATAAACCTTCCCTAACCTGGTGATATTCTGAAATAGTAAACAAATTATTCTGAATTTTTAGATTCATGTTTTTGGATTCACTTTTCGTTATTTTATCATTTTGTTTCTGATTGTTAATTCCTTACTGTACATATGATATCAATAATCCACATATTAATAATCCATCTTTTTAATTAAGTAGAAAGAGTCAAATCTCTTTTACCTACTTTCCTCAAAAAAGGCACAAATTAAGATACGCCAGTCTGTTGTTCATAATATGACAAAAATTGGTGATATTAATGTTATATTTTCAATCTTCAACCAAGGAGTTATAACTCCTTGCTTCAACAAAGCACTTAGAAATCTAAATATAAACTTTTATATTATAGTAGTACTAGAAGGGATAAAAACCAAACCCGTACACACAATTTGTAATTACGACAAATTTCTGGCAAAGTTGTCATTTTCTAGCGGTAAAATCCAAACGTCTAGATTGAAATAAAAATAAAATGACTCGGTTTTTTATTCTATGACTGAAAAATGACGAGCATTGGATGAGTGTTATGATGATGATGTCGGCAAGAGATCTAAAATGCCTAACATAAACATTAAGCTGAAATTCGCCAAATAAAGCCTCATATAGACAAATGCTTCTTAAGAAATCCCAAGCTGAAATATTCGTTCAAAAATGCTTACCTAAATGAAAACTGGTGATGACCAGGCAGCCTGGAATCCTTATAACTTCAGCGCTGACAGAATGGAACTCTTCAAAGAAATGCGTACAAGAGTTTACATCCGGTTCTATAGCATTAAAGATCTCGAAAACATTGACATTTGCGATAGAAAGTCTAAAAAGGCAAATGATGAATATTATTCCTTGTCAAATATTATCCAAAGTGTTTTCATCTACCAATTGATTTTTTCTCTCAATGTTGTGATTTTTTTTTTCAATTTGGAAGGTAATTTTGATTTTAGTTAAACCCTGGACCGGATTTCCCGACTGAGAACGAGGCCCAACTTCGCGTATTTTGAAAGTTTACGAGTCTCGGGGGTTTCCCAGGAATTTCTGACCAAATCTTTTGTCGTGAGGTAATTTGTCATGGTTTATTCTAACATTTTAAATATATTCCTTATATGAAATGGGAAGTGTTATTTTGAAATACACTGGGTATTAGACAAAATGTGTAGTCCATGCATGTCAAATGTCGCAGCAAAATGAGTAAATTCACCGATTCGCGTGTGACAGTGACACTGATACAGTGATACTAATCAGACTCCAGTCGTGGTGACACTGCCTTTATCAGTGTTACATTTTCTTACGTAGTTTCCAGTCCCACAACAGGCATATGCCTAAATTAAGCTACAAGTTATCTGAGTTATTCAAACGAATACAGAAACGGTCTACTCGAACTGTTTTGTAAACATGAGTCTGAAATATGAGGACATGTCACTCTTATTTACAGTATTGCCAACTTTTTATATATTGTACATATTTTTGTATTTTCCATTAGCCAGACATCTTAAGATGTCTAAGAAAGGGGGTTTCCTCACCCCCAAGGCCATTGCCAACAGAATTAAGGCCAAAGGACTTCAAAAGCTGAGATGGTACTGCCAGATGTGTCAGAAGCAGTGTAGAGATGAGGTAGGTTGTATATACGGGTGATTGTAATCTTGTTAATCATGCTCCAATATCTTATATCCCTCCAGTAAAAAGTCAGACACTATGGATTTTTTTTTGTTGTCTTTATTTCATCTTAATACCACTAACTTTTTTTTAATTGGGTGCACCCTGTTTTACAGAAGGTTTTCAGTAGTGAAATACTGTAAATTTGATTAATCATCCTTGATAAATCTTGGGTAAATTAGTCCACAAACAGTCTCTTTAAGAAAAGGACAAATGATAAAAGCAGGCCTTTTTCCCCTGTTCTTAAAATGTTGCCAGTCTTAAGTAAATAGCCATGAAATTTAAAATGTCTTCCAGAATGGATTCAAGTGCCACACAATGTCGGAATCTCACCAAAGGCAGCTTCTTCTGTTTGCAGAAAGACCAGACCAATTCCTGGATACTTTTTCCAAGTAACATTTTAAATAGTATAACATTTGTACTTTTTAATTAAATTTCATTGACAGGATGAATTAGGGCATATTCCCAGACATTTAGAACGATCTATCCCCGTGGGGAGTCTCACTAGATTACTGTCAGATAATCCGGCTTAAATGTCTGTCCCGCCTACTACAAGCTGTAAAGGGGTAATTAACTTTCGTGCCCGCTCAGCTGACAGCTATTTAGCGTGAACCCCCAGGTAGTTAGGTCGATCTAGTTTGGATCAATCTAATCTCTGGGAATGGGGTCTTAGAGAGATTGGGTGGTTAATAAATTCTACAAGGCTTACATTATTAAAAGTATAATAGCTGTTAATATAATCCCTTCAGCATCAATAGCATATTTTATCTACTGAATTTCAGGGAATTCGAAGATGGTTATCTAGAGGTTTTGAAGAGGCGGTTTGGAACCAAGCGTGTACATTGTAATATTGTATACCAAGAGTACATAGCAGACAGGGAGCATGTCCATATGAACTCCACGCAGTGGGAGACACTGACAGAGTTTGTCAAACATCTGGGGAAAGATGGTAGGCCATAGTATTTATTAAAACAATTTTAGAGAGGATAGTCTTGATAGCATAAACATATGCATGGCTACTTGTGTACTTTCTGTTATTTTGTAGTCTTTCTCTGTACATGTACAGTTTATGAGAAGAAACTAGCTGTAGTACATGACTTCTGATGTTGAAAGTTAACACAAGTGTAATTTTTACTAAAATTATATTTAGAACTGACTGAACAAGAATAATTAATTATTAATCAAATCCATGGACAGGAGGCTTTTGGTTTGAACCTAATTAAACCTTAGTTTGCAAAATGATACAAGATAAAGATAATGAAATAAAAGATGAACTGTACAACCTGTAGAACTGCTTGGTCACACTGAAGGTAAAGAAGGCTCAGGTATGATTTTTTATTTTCTTTAAAAATGCTCAAAACTGTTTTTGAATTTTATAGCAAAAAGATTCAATCTTTAACAATCTGTTAAAATATTTTCATAATTTTAATTCCCCAGGTTCTTGTGTAGTTGATGAAACTGAAAAAGGTTGGTTTGTGCAGTACATAGACCGTGATCCAGAAACAATACGAAGGCAAGAGGCACTTAAGTCAAAAGAAAAAATGGAACTGGATGATGAAGAGAAAGTGGCAAGGTTTATTCAAAAACAAATTGAGAGGGCAGCAGAGACAGAAAAAGAACAGCCCAAGTCGGAATACACAGAGTTAAAGAGGGAGAGTGAGGAGGAAAAAGGTATTGAACTAAACAAGCGCCCTGTACTTATAGCATCTTGTTGGTCAGTTTTCAGCCAAATCCTTGAGTTAGTGATAAAGAAGAAGATTCTTCAGGATGATTTCTTCACTTAAGAGTTTTCAGACTTCAAGTGAATATACTTAATGACACTTGATACACTGCAATTTGTAATTTGTAATTTAAATGATTGCGTCTTTTATTGATTAAAATTTTCTTTGTACTTTTTATTTTTCATTTTAATTATTATTTTTTTAGTGGCTTTCAATTTAGCTGCCATGAAAAAATCAGAAGGGAAATCTGCAGTGAAGTAAGTGGTCATCAATAGCTTGTGTCAACAAATGTATCTATGCACACACATTTACATGTTTTTCATTATAAAAAAATTTATTATTGAAAAATTTAATCATAATATACCTATTTGTTATTCGTTTGACAAAACAAATTGATTTAAAATTCTCAGCTTTTTTTGTATTAAGAAAATTTTAGTCTTTTCAAAATTAAATATTCGAAGAAAAACGAGATATTTGTATACTAATGATAATCAATAATAATAATAAATAATAATTGTTGTTACATTTGTAAATGGAAAATCCTACCTCACATTGTAGGTCATTACCATCAATGAATGCACTTAAAGCAGAGGAGAAAAAGCATGCTCCTACCACCAGCAAAGATAGCCTGAAGTCCACATCGACTGCTGGGCAGAAGAGAAAGAATGCCCTTGATGAAATTATGGAGGTATGTGATGGACTGTGTAATTGGTTGTGCACTCCTTGCATTGTTCTCAGTAAGTGAAAACCATGGTGGAAAAGAGATGAAATGTAGGAAGGAAATGTTTGATCTGATTGTCGATTTTTTCAAAATCAGAGTTGTAGCACCTTAGCACATTCTGTAACTATTATGGGAAAATATTTTGAAGCAATTTTTGTCCTTAATTCAGTGCTGGTGAGATTTTTATTATTTGCTAAATTCTTTTCAATTTAGTTAAAATTAGCAACTACTTTCTATTTTCATCTATAATAAGACAGAAACCAAAGACATATGTATATTATAAATACATGCAGGCCATTCATCCTATAATATTTCAATTTGTGGAAAATATTTCATTATTTTTTCCAGTTTGAGGAACAAAAGAAGGAAAAAATGAACAGGAAAGACTATTGGTTGCACAAGGGAATTGTAGTGAAGGTTGTCACAAAAAAACTTGGTGACAAATTTTATAAAAAGAAAGGAGTAGTTAAGGTAAGATGATTTAATGGTTGGCATTTAAGGTCAAGGTCAATCTGATCCATAAATGAAGGTCAGAGTTGAGGTTTTCATGTTTGATGTTAGCTGAAGGTTAAATTGGCCACTTCAAACATCTCCTTTTTTCCTTTTTTTTTTTTTTTTTTTTTTTTTTTGCGGTATTATCAATACGCTATCTTAAGCAATTTCACTAAAGTCTAACTTACCAATAGAAAAAAATTTCAAAAAATAGAAAAGCATTATTCAAAGAATTTTTACAGTATCTGAGGGGAAGGAGGTGGCTTAGTTGTGAGAATCATTCCCATTGTTTTGTCAAATGCATCACTTTACATTACTTTTTGGATTGAATACTTTAAGTGTTTGTTTGAAGGAGGTAGTTGACCAATATGCAGGGGTCATCAAGATGTTGGACAGTGGAGATAAGGTCAAGGTTGACCAGGCACATGTGGAAACAGTTATTCCAGCCATAGGTAAATGCTGGGTATTATATAGAGAATGAAAAGAGCAACTTATGTGTTGTAAAAGCATTTTTTTTATTTGAGTGAAATAATATATTCATCGATAATGTAAAATGGAGTGGAAAACAAATAGGTGTATTTATTTATTTATTCATTATTTTTTTGTTTATTCATGAAATTGTATATGGACATAACATGTATGTTATAATAAGTAAGGCCAGGTAATTTAAGGCATACATAACCATTTGATATGAAAAAAAGTACAATTACTTATATCTGAACTGAACTGAATTTAAACTTTCTTTAATGTAGTGAGAATGTAGTATAATTATTTATTTATTTTTTTTGTTTGTTTGTTTCAGGAAAGTCTGTTTTAGTGGTGAATGGAGCATACAGAGGCAGTGAGGCTACTTTATTGAGTATAAACGAGAAAAAGTTTTCCTGTAGTATAAAAATTGTTGCAGTAAGTATATAAAATGGACATTTTTAAATTAAGGCTGTCACAAAATTACTGTCATTAACTTATTATTTAATTTGGTAGTCAAAGTACAAAAAGTATGACATTTTTCATTTCAGTCTTAGATAGATAATGAATAGATAATTGGCAACTAAACTTTACTGTTTTCACAGATTTTTGAGCATATTTTTGCATTATTTATTATTCAGTGGAGAACTGCCTTTAGCTTTGCAGTAAGCATAATAATTTGGCCCAATGCTCACCCACCCTGTCCAATATACATGGATGTATCCCAAGTCTATGCCAAAAACATTAAAACCTTCTGGCCTTTGGGATATAAAGCACCACTACTTAACTATTCAGCAGAATATTTAAAAATAATATTTATAACAGAAACAGTGGCAAGTACCTGAACAAATTTATAAAATTGTCCTGACCCTTCTGCTTTAATTATTTAATGGGAGTTGGTACAGTAGTTATAGTCCTATATTGCTTGCGCGCAGGCACACACACACACACACACACATTGCTCTTTTTAGGACTTCTTATATCTGGTTTCAAAATAGAGATGGGTATTTTTAAGAAAAAAAATCCATAGTAGTGTTTTTCATAAAAATTGCATGTTTATTCAGTGTTTGAAGCAGCTATTGTTTCAGTTTTGACATTCCTTTGATGATTTTCTTCTAGGGTCCTTTGAAAGGCAGAGAAGTGGATGGGGTCCAGTATGAAGACGTCAGCAAACTCCACCTTGCCTCCTGACACGGTGTGTTTGATGTGCCAGCCAGAGCAACGCACCGATCCCTTTGTAATGAACGTTCAGAGAGAACAACAAGAGAAAGAGCCGAGATTTACGCCCTATACTGAAGAGGTTCAGCAGTTCCGTGAAGTGCTGGTTTCACATGCAATTCCAGGATATAGCCTAATATGCCAAGTTTGATTTTAAGAGAACTGTTCTTCAAGTATAAAAAAGGCAAAACTCTAAGTTGCTGTGTTACCAACAGCTTGTATCAGCGTGTTTCGTAATCTGTGACAGGATAATAGTCTGTCATGGTGACATATAAATAAAAGTGAACATATTCAGGGGCATAGTTGAACATGCATAACATTTTATTTTGTAAATTGATAATTTTTGTCTCCAAAGTAAGTGTCACGGGTTTTAATAAAATGATTATCACAGCACTGCATTATTGACGTTTATTCTGATTAGAAAGTCAAGTGTATAGAATTTATCCTTTTTATTTGCATCCTTTGTAGATATGAGCCTTCACACATCATGAATCCAACAGTATTGGCTTCATATTTATCTTAGTTCAGGAGCTCGTGTTGAATTTAATAATTATTAATGATAATTTTTTAAAAAACAACAACTTTTATGTTCAGAGCTCGAAGTCGACACTCACTCTCAGTTTATTTCGCTTTTCGTTGAAGATGGCGTTGAATTTTTCGTTTTGTGCTACAGTAAAATGGTTTTTCCAGTCACCGACAATACCTACAAAAAGGAAATAATTAGTAACTTGATATATAAGGGCAAATGTTCATAATTAACAAACACGATATATAAAGACAAATGTTCATAATTAACAAACATGATATTTTAAATTCCATATCCTTACAACTTGAACTAGAAATAATGAGAATATGATGGTTGCAAGATGCCTTCAATATGAGGGTCAAAATGGGCTTCTCGTGCCTTTTCTGTACATGCTGCCTCCTGGTTTCCAGAAACATTTTGGCTCTTTTTTCGCTTTCTTCATGTGCCCAAAAGAGCACTTTTTAGTCACATTTTCGTAGACCTCCTCAGATTTGGTATAACCTAGAAATTCTGCAACGCGGCGTACCTCTTTCTTCAGGTCCTAGAAATTGAAAAGTTCGTTTTGGGGGAACGTTTTTGGTGATCAGTTTCTCTCTCTCTCTCTCTCTCTCTCTCTCTCTCTCTCTCTCTCTCTCACACACACACACACACACACACACACACACACACATTAAATTGATAAAATCTCGATAAAGTAATTATACACTCGCCATGCTTAAAAAAATCTGGCTGGCGTGAACCGACCTTGAAGAGGAGAATTATAATTTCTAATAAAAAATGTTCAACTGCCATACCCGCTTCATGTCTTCATATTTGACCACTAAAGCATTGGGGTTATTTTCTAAAACTTCCATCCAATCAGCAACATGGTCGAACCAAGATCCGCATAAACCTAGTTGCGAGAAAGATAAAAATGCAGACATTGCATGGACATTTCTTAACCATATTCATCATAAATGGGAAAAGAGATACATTTTCAGTATTTAAATTAAATTAATTTTGTGTTTGATTATATGATATTATAAGTTTATATCGTGCGACTTGAATATGCAAATAAATAAACCAAATCAAATATCATGATTTAAAAAAGAATGAATAATGTGATTTTAGTATAAGGCATTGAGAGAGAGATATGGAAGCCTTTTTAATCTTAAGTCTTGAAACTTAAAAACGAAAGGAACATTTTAACAGGAAGCGTGTCACAAAGTAGCGGCCAATGTAAGTAGACCTACATGTACGTTTAAATAAAAATAAAACATTTTTTGCTTTGAAAATAAATTAAAATTTTGCATGATACGTGATTCAGTCTTGCTTTTTATGTCACTTTTTTGAAGAAAATTTTCCTTCTCCAAATTATATATTTACATGTATTTTCGTCTACAGATAATTCGAAGAACCCGTTCCAACTTCCCTCATATGACACCGATCTGTCGTTTTTCATATGATAATATGCAGACACGAATGCGTCCTTTGGATTCCGTAGTGTGTAGATAATCTTAGATTTCTTCAATGCTTCTTCTGGAAACAGCTTCAGCGGCACGTGTGTATCTAAAACCCTCGGCGACGGCAGTTTTTCCAGGGACTCCACAGCGCACGCCTCCGGGAACATGGTGCCTTCTTTTATGCTGTCAGTGAGTTCTTCCCGTCCCGTCATGAGTAGTTTAATGACTTCGTACATCCAATGTGTTCCTATTTTTGAAAAATTGCATAAAAATAGATATTTGATTTTCTCCATTGGATATTACATTTGGAACATTGACACGCCCCTAAATCGACAGAGAAATACTTATAATATAGAAAAGAAAATGCAAGTATAATGTAATAATGAAGAATAGGACTTGACAAAAAAAAAAAAAAAAAAAAA